GGCGGCGACTAGGGCGCGGTAGAACGGCACCGCGGCGCGCGCGACGCTGCGGCCGCTGGTGCGGGGGGAGATCAGCGCGCGGGACAGGCGCAGCGCCTCTGCTGCTGTCTCTTTCTCAAATGGCAGCCACCTGGCGGCGAGGTGGACGGTCAACTCGAGCTCGTCCGGGCTCGAGCACTCGACCGCGGGGTGCTGCGCTGCACGGGCGCCGCCACCACCGCCGCCGCTGCTGGCGGCGGCGGCGGCCCTGGGGGCGGGGCCGCGGCGGCGCGCGGGCGCAGTGGCGGGGGTGCACGCAGGGACGCGGCGGCCGGTCAGCGCCTGCGGGGTTTGGTGAGGGGTGGCAAGCGGGGGCCGGGAGATCGAGGCATGGTGAGACGCTGCTACATCAAAGTGCTATAATAAGTCCCTCAAAGGGTACATGCAGGCGGCGACGACGGCGGCGTGACACGCGTTCCACCATGGCGACAACGGCGTCGCGGCGCCAGATTGCGTTTGGCCCCATGCAGTGGATCGCACCTGGCGGCGCATAACGCTGTTCATCATGATGTTTTTGTCCGGGTGTGGTGACTCAAAAACGGAGGTCTGACCGATCTTGGGTTGGCGCGGCGCGAATCGTGTCGAAATGCAATGCAACGGCCTCGTCGTGTAGCCGTGCGCAACGGTATGATGCGCTGGTATGTTTTCACAACAAGAACAAACTCGCCCATGGCTGGGAGTGCAGCCAAGGTGCAAACTCGGGACCGCCAGCTTGGTACGCTGGGGGTACGGTTGCGCGATGCGGATGGTGCCGTGTGCACATGCCTCGGTCACACAACCTGCAGTCCACAGTCCCTTGCCTAAACCCTTGGCCAATAGCTTTGTATGTCCAGCAGTCACTTAAAATATGGATTACTGGACAAGAACGGGCCCGTCGTGACAGCCGGGCAGCTCGCTTCTTGCCGGCAGCTGTTCGCTAGGTGGCAGCTGCGGTCTCGCGGCTTAAAAGGGTAGGCCGCAGCAGGCACGGCAGCCATGGATGCAAGTCATTGCGTCCGCATTCCTCTGCTTTGAGGGCGTTGTGAAAACACCATAACCTGGGTGTAGTATCCGCTCGTGACACCTTGGCAGCGGCCTCAACCGCCCCCACTCTAGAATGCAGCGCCAGTTGGTTCATGATCAGATTATCAGGGGACACGTCAACGACTTGGCCTCAGATGGGTGGGCACTGTTGAGTTGACAAAGCGAACGTCATTCGACGCCAAAAGTTGTCCAGGGGCTTCGACAGGGACCAGAAAGGAACATAACGGCATGCAGCGTACGGTAACATCAGCCATCCAAATTACAAACTCTCTTCCCTCAGCCTGCTACATCACATGAGCTGCCTCATCCGCCAGGCGCTGCTGCCATTCTACACCGCTGCTGCACTGACCATGGCTCGCTTGGCCTCGCTGGCCCAGCACCCAGTTGCGGTGACATCAGCGCCGCCCACGACGCTTGCAACGCAGCTGGTGTGCTGCGAGAAAGCAGTTCCACTACCTCGAAGCTCACGTTTGGCGAGGACCTGAGATGGAGGTGAGTGGATGGATGATATTTTTGTATCAGACGTGCACGCGTTCGAAGGCTGCAGTAACTCGTGCACTCGTTCTTCATGGCCCATGCCCAGAGGCTGTTGTTCCAGTGATACAGCTTCCAGATCCCTACGTTGATCTGTAGACGCACTTGTTCCGCCCACTCTTGCACACGAAACGTAGCGCCGTCTAGGCGATCGAACGTGCCTCTCGTTTTTTCTGCATATCCTCACTATCTCCATACATTAGCAGGGCGCGCCCTGCATCGCCTCCATTGCTGTATCGGAAGCTGGCGCTTGCCGTCGACGCCCATGGACGGGGCCCTGCGGCCGGCGGGCGCGTATGATGGCATGCACTTCATGTCTGTGAGTGTCCTTGCATGGATTCATTCGTCATCAAATGCCCTTGGCATGAACAAGACAGCACCAGTTTTTGCTGTCTCTACTCGGCGTGAACCCAGTCGCAGCGCACTGGCACCTGGCCACATTCCGGCCGCGCCAGCACCGAACGCCCCGCGCGCCGGCAGTACACGGTCGCAGGGTCCCTGGCCGGCGTGGGCGAGCATGTGGCTATGTACCCGATCGACACGATCAAGACGCGCATGCAGGCGCTCAGCCACCCGGGGCAGCAGGTGGGGCGGGCGGGCCGGGAACAGGCGAGAGCAGGGCGAATGCAAAGGCGTGCGGGGCGGAGACCCGGCCTGGATCTGCTGTTTGGATGTAATAACCAACAGGGCTGCTGCCGCACGGCCGCCGCTGCTGCTCGGCCGCCGCTGCTGCGTGATACACGAGCACACACAGCCACGCTGCCACCGCCGTCACCGATCGGAGCCCTGCGCCGCAGCCAGGGGCCGGGGGCCGCCGCCGCGACCCGGCGGCCGACGACCGGCGGCTGTGACCCCATGCCGCCCCCAACCCCCGCAGCTGCACGCGTCGACGCTTCGGGCGCTGAGGGCTGCGCTGAGGCGGGAAGGCGCCCGAGGGCTGTACGCGGGCGTCGGCGCCGCCGCAGCTGGGGCCGGGTGCGCGAGCGAGGCGGGCGCATTGGGTTCGCTGGCGGCTGAAATGCATGGGATGTGAGGCAGCAGGCGCGGCCTCTCATCGTTGCGGTGCGGCAGATGGGAGGGCATGTCCCAAGGGATGTGCCGCTTGCACGGCAGGCGGTTGGGAGTGAAACTGATTCCGACTGCCGCAATCAGCGTCCCAGCTGTGTTTCGCCCCCGAAGCCATCGGGCGCCCATCCCCCCACCAGGCCGGCCCACGCGGTGTACTTCGGAGTGTACGAGGTGGCCAAGGAGGCGCTCGGCGGCAACCGCTCCGGGCACCAGCCGCTGGCGGTCGCGGCCGCGGGGGCCGCGGCCACGGTGGTCAGCGACGCGGCGATGAACCCCGCTGACGTCATCAAGCAGCGGCTGCAGGTGCCCTTGCGCGCATGCGCGCGTTTGTGCATCCTCGCGCTCGGGCAATCGCCGCGGAGTGGAGCGGATCGTCCACTGGCCATTGCTCAAGCGGCTCCTTGTGCCTGCGCTGGCGGCCGGCTGCGGGACCGGCCTGCACGTCGTCAGGGCCAGCGCTGTGCTGTCCG